CCTCACTTAAGAGCACAAAAACATTGATCTGCCTATGTTCACTGTGGTACCTCTGCAATAGACAAGATCTGGAAACAACCCAAGGGCCCAAGAAAAGATGAGTGGTTGAAGAAACCATACAAATACACAACTGAGTACTACTCAACTATAAGAAAAAGAAAATGAAATTCCGCAATTCTTTTGGACTTGGAGGGAACTAGAGGATATCATTCTAAGAGAAGTAGGGAGAGGACAAACACCAGCTGATCTTACTCATATGCTGAGTATAAAAAACAAAATAAGGGAATAGAAAAATGCCTAATGGGGGGGAAAAACCCTAAGAAGTTGCCTGAAGAACTGGGTCGGCTAGGCAGGATTAGCAGGCAGAGAAGAAGGGAGAGTGGTAAAGGACTACTGGCATGGTGCAGTAACCTTGTATGCCTAAAATATCACCATTTACTATTGAAAAATTTTTACCTTAAATCTTTTCAAAAGTTTAGGAAAAGAAACTAATATGCACAGTGTTAAAAATACTCTGAACTCTGAGCGTTGTCTTAAAGTGGGTAAGGTTCTGGTTCGATTCCTGGTATCCTGTATGGCCTCCTGAGCTCCATCAAAAGTGATCCATGAACACAGAGCCAGGAACAAGTCCTGAGCACCACTGTGTGTTGAGATATTTACTTGGGCCAAGAGTCTGTTCTGTTAACCACTACCACTTTAATACTTCTCACATCAAACAGTATGTAGAGAATAACTTGATTTTAATAAAATTCATTGTAGTTTGAAGTCAATCACTAACAGTCCTCTTTTTTAGGCTGGAGTGTTTAAGTCACTGTCACTGGCACTGTCCTCCCATTGTTCACTGATTTTCTCCAGCGGGCCCATTAACATCTCCATTGTGAGACTTTGTTGTTACTGTGTTTAGGATATCGAATACGTCACAAGTAGCTTGCCAGGTTTTGCCGTGCCGGTGAGATACTCTCGGTAGCTTGCCAGGTTCTCCAAGAGGGGTGGAGGAATTGAACTCAGGTCGTCCATGTTGGTTGCATGCAAGGCAAATGCCCTACCCGCTGTGCAATCACTCCAGTGTTTAAGTCACGGTCACGGTCCTCCCGTTGTTCATCGATTTGCTCAAGCGGGCCCAGAAACGTCTCCATCATGAGACTTCTTGTTATTGCGTCTGGCATATTGAATACGTCACGGTAGCTTGCCAGGCTTTGCCGTGCAGGCGAGATACTCTCGGTAGCTTGCCGGGCTCTGGAGAGGGGCTGAGGAATCGAACTCGGGTTGGCCATGCTGCCTGTGTGCAAGGCAAATGCCCTACTGCCATGCTATCGCACCAGCCCAGTGTTTAAGTATATAAGCAAAATATATTATGTTGCTCTACTGATAGTTGAGAGTAGTCAGTGTGAAATTTAGTTTTTTACTTTGTTATTTCTAATTTTCATTCTAGTAATTTTTAAATTTTAATACTTTCTTTAAAATTTTATTTTGAGCTATCAATTTCCCCCAAATATGAAGAATAAATGTAAACAAAACTAAATCATATTACCTAACCACAATTGAACACTGACTCGTGAGTTATTTAATGGATTTTGCCTTATCAATGAAATGTTTTAATTTGTACTTTATTGTAATCCCCCCAGAGCATACAGTAATTCTTAAAAGAGCAGACATATGTTAAGTATACTTATTAGTCATCATAAAATATTATGCTACAAACATCAATGAACACATTTCTTAATGCTCAAGGGCCAGTAATTCACAAAACTGGTTGTACTGACCAGTGTGGATGGGTTGAGGAAGCTGGAACAATCCAGAGGCAGTATTATAGTCTGGGTAAAAATGGGAACTACTTTCCATTTGTGGACTTAAAGAAGGTAGATCTTCAGTGGAGGTACAGAGTAATTTCTGAAAAGGGGAAGATAGACCAAACAAGTTTGGAAACCTCTGTTCTGGGGATATATATATATTGGGCTAGAGCGATAGCACAGCAGTAGGGCGTTTGCCTTGCACGCAGCCAACATGGCCGACCCGAGTTCGATTCCTCCGCCCCTCTCGGAGAGCCCGGCAAGCTACCAAGAGTATCTCGCCCGCACGGCAGAGCCTGGCAAGCTCCCCGTGACGTATTCAATATGTCAGACACAGTAACAACAAAGTCTCCAATGGAGACGTTACTGGGCCCGCTCGAGCAAATCGACGAACAGGAGGGCCTTTACCTTATATATATCTCTTGGTCTTCAGCTTTATGTAAATATTTATTGCTTACATAAAACATACTTTGCATCATACAGGTGGCAGAGTCAGTACAGATGTTAAGGAGCTTGCCCTACATATAGTCATCCTGGTTTTGATTCCTAGAACCACAGTTTCCAGAGCACTACCAGGAGTATTCTCTGAGAATAAAGTCAACAGGAGTCATGAGCACCACCAAGTGAAGCCCAAGTACAACCCTTGCAGCCCCCCAAAAAGGGCAGAATACTATCAGGCACCATTTCAGACTTCCAAACCAGAATCAGCATTTTATTCTTTTTTTCATTCTTTGGTTTTGGGGCCATACTCAGTAGTCCTCAGAGCTCACTCTTAGTAGTACACAGGGGACCATATGTGGTGAGGCAGCTGAACCTGGGTCAGCCACTAGCAAGCACCCTATCCTATATTATCTCTCAAGTCGTCAGGATCAGCAGTTTAATCTAAGATGCTGGGACTAAAATGCTTAAAGTGCTCATTAAAATGCCTATTTTTAAGAGAAGAGAAAGACAGTACAGGCAGTATGGTTCCTGCCTTGCTGCAGCAAACCTTGATTCAATCCCCAGCACAGCGTATGGTCCTGAGCACCATTAAGCATAATCCCAGAGCACTGAATCAAGAGTAAACACAGAGCACAGCCTGACGTGTCCCAAAAAACAAAAGTACCTATTCCAAGACCACTTATTCTTTATTAATCTATCTACATATAATCACCTGGACTGCTAATTAAAATTATAGTCTCTTATGCTACACTCTAGCTCGAGCGGGCCCAGTAACGTCTCCATTGTGACACTTGTTACTGTCTTTGGCATATTGTATACCTCATAGGGAGCTTGCCAGACTCTGCTGTGCTGGCGAGATACTCTCGGTAGCTTGCCGGGCTCTCCGAGAGGGGCGGAAGAATTGAACTCGGGTCGGCCATATTGGCTGCGTGCAGGGCAAACGCCCTACCGCTGTGCTATCGCTCCAGCCCACATTCTAGCTCATATGTCATTAAAGATTAAGAGCCACAGCTAAAACAAATAAAAAATAATAAACAAAAATGAAAATTTACATATAGCAGTGAAAGTAATAGACAGCTGAAAGAGATCAAGAAAGTGGTAATAAAGAACAAAAGGAAATAAAAGTGATCACAAAGGAAGGTAGCTTAAGGATGTAGCACTGTAGCACTGTCCTCCCGTTGTTCATTGATTTGCTTAAGCGGGCACCAGTCTGTCTCCATTGTGAGACTTGTTGCTACTGTTTTTGGCATATCAAATATGCCACAGGGAGCCTGTCAGGCTCTGCTGTATGGGCGGGGTACTCTTAGTAGCTTGCTGGGCTCTTGAAGAGGGACAGAGGTTTGAAACCCCGGGTTGGCCGTGTGCAAGGCAAACGCCCTACCCGCTGTTTGCTTAAGACAGCAACAAAAAATTATAAAGAGATAAAGAAAGTACATGTATTAGTCAAGCAAATAAAAGCAAACAAATGGAACTACATTAAATTAAGAAGCTTCTACACATCAAAGGAAATGATGACCAGAATACAAAGCCACCCTACAGAAAAACTGTTTCCCCACCACTCATCTGATAAAGTGCTAATATCCAAGATATCTAAAGAGCATGGCAGAATTTTACAAGAAGAAAAATCACCCAACCCCATCAAAAAATGTGGAGAAAAAAATGAACATGCACTTCCTCACAGAAGACATACAAATCACCAAAACTACATTAACAAATCATACGAAAAACTACTCTGTATGGAAAGGCAAATGAAACTACATGTATTAGTAAAACTAAATGAAATATCACCTCATACCAGAGACTGTCATACTTCAAAAAAAAAAAAAACTCAAAACAGATAACCAGTGTTAGTGTGGAAAGGAACCCTCATTTATGGTTGGTATAAATGTGGACTGATTCAACTCCCTGGAATATACCCCAAGATCCAGAAACACAACACGGAAAAGACTTCTGAACTCCTATACTCATTGCAGAGATATTTACAATAGCCAAAATCTGTAAGCAGATTATACGTATTACACGTTGACAGATGACTGGATAAAGAAACTATGGTACATAAATACAATAGAATACTTGGACATATACAAAGATGAAGCCATGCAATTTGATATGGAGCGTATCATGGTAAGTGAAGTTAGTCAGAGAAAGACACAGAATAATCTCTCTCATATGTGGGCTATAAAGAAACATAGAAGGGAATAACAAATGGTGCTTGCTTTGTAGCACATATACTAAAATTGAGAATAACAAATGTCCAAAGGCAACAAAAACAAAACACCTGAGAATCGGTCTTCAGCATGAAGCTTGCCACAGGAGTTGGGGAAGCAGGGAGAGGAAGAGATAGGTCAGGAAAGGGAAAATTACAATGGTGGAGAGAAAAGTGCCTACCATAGAGGTAGGCTAGGGGGAAGGAAGGAAAACTGGAGATTCTGATGAAATGAATTGTTATTGGAACACTGTACACCTGAAACACAATCATAAATAAATCTGTAATTAAAAAAATAGAATTTTTAAAATAAAACTACATGTACTTAGTCTAATGCTCTGATGTTGAGGGGTTCTGTCATTCCTGATATATATACTACAAGTATGCAAAAAGTTTTCGAGCAAGACCATAGGGTACAGAATTTAGTAGAGTATAAATAAAAGATTTGTTGGAATTATGTAGAGAGGAAACCATCATTATCAGCACTGTAAACCATAGAACCTCAATAAATGTTTAAAAAATTAAACTGCTCTTAAATGTCATAATTTTAAATGTGTACGTACGCTTTTAGAGACATTTCCATATGCTTGGCTCGTGCAATTGCTTCATCTCGCTCCTCATCAGCTAACTGTAGTCGTGAAAGAATAGCTTCATCACGCTCTCTCTGAGCAAAATAGACTTCTTCAACCAGGGCTGCCAAACATACAATCCATAATTAATCAGTGAAAATTTTAAAAAATGCATACTTCCAGGAAAATAATTTTACTTAACTGAATTAGTACTTAGTTGAGAATGGAGTTTTTACAAGTTAACGCAAAATGTATACCATTTGACACTGATTAAAAAATACAAAGATGGTCAGAAAAAATAGTACTGTAAGCTTGTGAAATAAAAAAAAAACCTCTTACAGGTACTGAAGATATGTGTATATATTTCTACAATCATCCAAAAAAAAATTTGACATTGCTTCTTTCTCTTGAAGATGTATCTAACCTATAACCCAATAAATCACTTTGATTTTGGTTATTTATATTCCACCTCAAATTTGATCTATCTTATTAAAAAAGCAGGATTTCTTCATTTTAATAGCTGAGTAGTAAAATACTCCATTGATGATATACGACACAACTTTTTTACCCAGTCATTATCAATAAACACTTAAGTTGTAGTCATACCTTACCTATTGTGAATAATGCTACTATGAACATAAATGTGTGTGTATCTTTTCAAATTATTATTTCCATGTCTTTGGATAAACACCTATAAATGGTATTGCTGGACTATTTATTTATCTATGATACAAGAATGCTAAGTATAGCCTTAGCATTCTTAGCATAATGATAAATGGTGGAAGCATGGAGTAGCAGCACTGCAGTAAAAAATAATTTTGGAACTACTGATAAAAAAAGCGAATAAAATCTTGTCATCTGCAATTACACAAACAGATCACAAGAACATTAATCTCTCGGAATAACTCATATGGAGAAAGATGAAATAACTAATATGGACAAAGATGACTACAATATGATTCTACTGATACAAAAATTAGAGAAGATATCAAAATCATTAAATTCAAAAAGACAGAGAACAGACTGGTGACTGTCAGACACAGAGGTTGGAACTGGGCAAAATGAGCTAAAGGAGTTAGAGATACAAACGTTCAACTATGAAAAAAGTAAGTCCTGGGGCATACTATGTGACATGCTAACTGTAGTAAACAATACTGAACTACAGATTTAAAGTGGTTAAGAGAGTAAACCTGAAAATCTGTCACACAATGAAAAATATTGTATTACGTGGGCACTGTTAACTAGATATACTGTAGTGATTATTTCACAATGAATACTAATGCCCAGAGTTTAAGTTAGATAGATGAAAATAATATAATAGTATATGTCAATTTACCAAAATTTAAAAATGTTAAGTTATAAAGTACTAATTATTAAAGTTAAATGCCAATAAGAGTCTTATCACTTCTGTAAGCATTATAAGATCTTCATAAAGCGACAATGCAAGCTGTGTTCCATTTCATATACAACACCAAAAGAGTTAAAGCCAACAATATAGTTATTTTAATAATAAATCTAGTTATCTCTATGTATAAAGGTAAATACTATACACTGAAAGCTTCTTTGGTCCCATGTGATCAAGAGAAAATATTTTTTCTTCTCTAATACTGTATCAACTCTGAGGATGTAAATTATGTGCGTGTTGAAAGGAGAGTGGCTTCTGAGTATTTAAATTTTAAATGCTATAAAATGCATAACATAAAATCTGATTATTTTGATTTAAAAAGGAAGTTCCCAAAACTTAAGGTGTTAGTAGATGATCATTTTAACACCTAGTATGTTATATGTGAAATTGTTTGATTATGAAAAGCCCAATTCTTTTCAGAATTTGGCACTTTTAAAGAATCAATATGCAACTCTCTAACATTTTAGTAAAGAAAACTTAATTGTAAACACTAAGCTTTTGCAAGGTAGATGACTATTACAAAGTTCACTAGAAAATCAATATAGCATTTTAGTTGGAATTTGCTCATTAAACACCCACAGCTCTAATGCAAATTATGATGGAATGAATAAAGCAAATACGCATGCTTCTTTCTTTTTATTAAATGTAAAATCTACTGTTAATTGCATCTCGTATGTCATACAAACTTTTCTCCTTAACTATTAAATAGAAGCTTTAACAAAAGTCATTAGAGATTCTCTTTCTTTGACTTGAATAAATTTCAATATTTGTTCAGTAAAGGTTCACAGCAGTTAAATTACATTAACAAATATTATTAGCTACTATGTAAGCCAACCAAGTAAAATACTTATATTGTAGGTAAAACAAATCATTGGGTGTTTACAATAATATTTGGATATCTCCATTTTTAAACATGGTTATCAAATATCCTATAATTCTTACACAAATGAGAAAGATTCGGAAAGGATCATCCCCATAACCACACTGCCCACCATACCAAACACTTAAATTTGTTTAGTAAGCTAATTGTTTTCTAATATGGACAAGAGTAAATATGAAGAAGCTGAACTATACTAAGTATGAGTTTACTAAGTCAAAGCCGAGTACATATTTTCTTAGTCTAGCCCAAGTCTATTGACAAAACATATTCTACAGTTCTCAAACTACTTTTAAAATACAGTAGAAGTGAGACAGCATATTGGAAAACATTCTAGTTTAAACAATGAATAATGATTCTCTAAATAACATAATTTGGAGGACAGATATTTCCATGAGAAGAAAACCATTTGAACACATCCTCAAGAGAGTTGTATAAATAGAAAAGGCTGAATTGGAGAGAAGAAATTATTAAGATTTGAATTTAAAACCTACAAAATAATCACTGATCATAACTTATGTCCCCAAGTTCTAAACAACAAATACAGGTAACAGTTTTATGAATGTCAGATCTTTATAATATATGAAAGAATTTCAGATTATATGAGTATAAACTATACTGCATTGTATATAAACTAGGTTCCTTATAAATGAATTTTATGAAACTAACCTAATCATATTCAAGAATAACTTTTATGCTTTTATTTTCTAAAATATATAATTTCTCTTTTTGCAGAAATTCATCACTAGAAATCTCAAAATATATGGCAAATGTCTCACACCTATGGGAAATTAAACAACCTATTTGAAGTAATTTGACACCTCTATTTTTGAAATTTTATTACTGGATTCACCTTATTACTTCAGAATCTCTTTTACTGACTGGACTATTATATTTTTTGAATGCTCAATTTTAATCTTAAACATTGTATATAATTTTTTTGTAAATACCTTTCTGATTAAAAAGAGATACATGAGGAGACAAAATATTTTATATATTCACTTTCTGTGCACATTTAAAATGAAGAGAATATGTTCCTATACTCTTCTTAGTATTAAAAAAATATAAAGTAGTACTGTCACTGTCACTGTCCTTCTGTTGTTCATCGATTTGCTTGAGTGGGCCCAGTAACATCTTCATTTTGAGGCTTGTTACTGGAGCAATAAAGTAGTAAATATTGTAAAATTTAGAAATGCCGTATGATTAAGATAGTCCTATTACAATATTTGACATTACAAACAAATTAACTTTATAAACAACACTGTTGTGAACATCTTTGTAAATGAATATTTTTGGATATACATGTAGAAAAATTCCTAGAAGTATGAGAAAAGTCACATTTTTAACCTCTTCCTACTACTTTAATACTTTTTAAATCTGGCAAAAAATTGTACTTTCAAAAGTATAGAAATTACTTGCTATTAAATTAAAAAGTAACAAGATAAGTAGCAAAAGAAAAATTTTTTTTGTAAAACTTGTAAATTATTGATTGAATCATTCAATTATATGCATTTCAATCATAGATATAAGCTTTTAATTACTTGTATATAGCCTATGTATTACAAAAACTGCTTAAGAACATGCCATATTTGTATCAAAACATTTCATATACCTACCATGTTATTAGAGATATTCTTAATGTGAAGGAGATAACTGATGCCTAAACTATTAAAATCCGTACCAATTATTTTATGTGCTTATGAAATGAAATTTAAGTTGCATTTAGTTTATTTTCTGCACAACATAAATGTTTCATAAATACCAAAACAAAAATTCTATTAAACATGACATATCTAAACTTTCACGATTATTTCCTCTTTAGAAGAAACAAAAAGATTTTTAAACAAAAACTTTTTTTTTTTTTTTTTTTTTTTTATTTTTTTATTTTTTTTTTTTTAATTTATTTATTGAATCACTGTGGGAAAGGTTACAAAGCTTTCAGGTTTATGTCTCAGTCATGCAAATATCAAACACATTTCCCTTTACCAATACTTATTTTTTACCATGAAGAACCCCAATAAAACCCCACCCCCCACCCCTCCCCGTCCCTGTGAAGCAGATGAATTCTAGTTAACACTCTATCTGCTTTGATTAGATTCATTGTTTCAATAAAAGATTCACCACTATTATTTAGAGTTTACCCCCCCCCCCCAAATCAGACATGCTGAAAAAGCATTGTGAAGTGATTTGCTTTCTACGGCTGGGTTCAAGAATTAAATGTTGGTTTTGGATTTCTGCTCTTTTACCTATTGACCCTGGAAGTATTTCTACTGAAAGTCAGATAGTTAAGAAATTGGTTTCTGTGTTCTGAAGTCCTGGCCGTGCTGGAGAGCCGCTCGCGGGGGGCAACCGGTGGCCTCGGTAGGGTGTGAAGGGCGGACCGAAACGCCCCCCTTCCCATGAGGTTTTAGTCGCCCCCACACTCCCGGCTCATACCTGCTGTCCACAAGGCTCCCATGTGGCCGCCATCTTTCTTTCCAAAGAGGAGAGGGCGAATGGGGCAACACCCTTTCCCCTCCGGCAGACTTGATGGCCTGGATCAATGCAGAGTCCGTTCACTTTTCTGCTCCAAGCTGCTGGGTTCTGCATTAAGTCCTTGTGCTTCTGGGGCCGTGGCCGTGCTGGAGAGCCGCTCGCGGGGGGCAACTGGTGACCTCGGTAGGGCGTGAAGGACGGACCAGAACGCCCCCCTTCCCATGAGGTTTTAGTCGCCCCCACACCCCCGGCTCATACCTGCTGTCCACAAGGCTCCCATGTGGCCGCCATCTTTCTTTCCAGAGGGAGGAGGGCGGAAGGGAGCAACACCCTTTCCCCTCCGGGCAGAAATGATTGCCTGGATCAA